CTCAAAAAGCCTTCAAAAAAACTTTTTTTTCATCTTCTTTTATTTTAATTAAATAATTTCTTTAAAATAAAGTCCTTCCATTATTTTTCCTCTCTCTCATTTTAATTTATAACTACTATTTATTTATTATTTACAAATCGAAACATCTTTTTCTTATTTAATCCGCAACGTGTAATTAGTAACATTATAACCACATCCCTGTCTCGGTCAGCCTTTTAGCGTCTCATTCCTTCATTTATTCTTTATTTTTCTGTTGCTGGCTCATTAACATTAACAGCGCCGCGAGATTGCTTAATGAGAGAAAGAAATGGCTTTTTAGTTGTTAGGCTAGAAAATATACTTTTAATTTTATTTTTTTTTAATTTTAATTTTCTTCCCTTAAAGTGCGAAAAATAGCAAAAATAATTTGTAAAATTATTTTTATTTAAAATGGACAGAAAAATTTCCTCTCAACCTCATTCTCTTAACCAAGGGACTGAAAATCCACGTGGTTCGAATACCTCAAACCATGTTTCACTTATTTTGTGGCAATGATCTGCTTTTGTTTACTTCTCGGACTATTGTTATTCCAAAGATGTTGCTTCTCCACTTCCGTCTTTTTTAAATATTATGTTCGTTCTCAACATCCTCGTTGTGTTCCAATTTATTCAAATTCAATTTAACTTTTATTTTAACAAAAACAGAATCTTTAAATAATATTTATTAAAAAGCTAAATTCAAAATTAGAGAATCCAACAAAAATGTTTTTGTGATTAAAAATTTTTATTCTCAACACATTTTCTTTTAATTTTCCTCAAAAAGTATTGCTACACATTGCCGTCATTTGCTTCCGACTAACCCACAAAATTAGCAATACTCTCTACTAGCTATATATTTATCCCCCCAATCTGCAGGCCAATGGAATTAAGCATTATTTTCGTTCTCCTTTTGCTTTTCCACAACTTTTCCCCCCTGTTTTGTCGAAAAGATGTCGGAAGACTTTATTTGGCCGCTGATTAGCAGCAATGGCTGGGCCAATTAGGGAGTGACTGCTCTAGTTTATTTAGTTAAAAGAGACTTTATTTTTTTATTTTGTTGATGATTTTGTTGATGAAATAAAGTAGTAAAGGCACGAAATGAAGCAATTTGTTGTCCAATTCCTAAATTTATTTAATTTATCTAATTCTTTAAATTTTCTCTTTTTTTCTTTTTTTTTAATTCTAAAATTGTGACATTCTTTTACTAAATACTAAAATTGGCTTTTTAAAAATAGTAAATATAAATAGTTTGTTGTTTTAAATAAATATTTTTGGAAATTCATAATCTCGATGTTTTTATTTGTTTTATTTTTTCCCCCCTCTAATTAATTAATTTAATTTTTTTTTAAATTTATTTGTTAATTATATGTAGCAATTTTAAATTTAATTATTTAACAAATTATATTTAATTTATAATAATTATTTGACCTTCTCACATTTTAAAATCATTTATATGTACTTTATATAAACCAATAATTTTCAAAAAATATTTTTTTCTTTAATTGACACCTTCTCATAATCTTTCCTTAATAAAAAAAATATTTTCATGCCTGATTTAAAGAAAAACTTTTTTAAAATAATTTTCTCGATTATAAACCAATTCTAATGGAAATTAGGAATATATAGAAATTTACAAAAAATGAGCAAAATAAAAATATTTTCTCGCAAAAATAATATTATACATAATATGTTCAATTTTCATCTCCATTTTCTTTTTAAAGGCGTCAATGAGGTAGCGGGAATAATTGGTTTATATTTAATAAAAAAAGAAAATATATTTTAAATTAAGAATGTTATTTAAATGATTTAAACGGTTTTATTTAAAAGTACATTCTTTAATTTGTATATTTATTTTTGATAATTTAATAAACAAAAATATTAATTTTATTTTAAATAATAGAAAAATATATACCTATTTCTTTTTTAAATAAAAATTTTTTTAGTTAAAAACGGCTAAAAGTATTCGGGGATAACTCTAGAATTGGGCATTTTTAGATTTTATTTAAATGTTATTTAATAGGTTGTTTCATTAAATTAGGTTTTTATCGTGTTTTCTGTGTGATACATATTTTTATCCGATTTTGTTATTAATTTAAATTCTTTTTTTAATTAGATTTATAGTAAATAATTTAAATAAAATAATTATTATTTATTTGAAACAAACTTTATATATATAAATTAAATTCATTTATTTTAAATAATTGCCAAGTTTTGTGTTTTTCCTAAAAAATTTTTTTCTGATTCTCTCAAAGCTTTGAAGCGAATATTTATTTATTTTATTCTAACCCACCTTCACTACTCTCTCAGAAAGGTGTTTGGTGAAGGGCAATTTAGACGATTATTTAAAAATATTGGCCAAAACCGTAAATGCCACACTTTTTAAATAATTTTAAGCATTTTACACTCTGTCTGTAGCTAACAGCTTAATTTTAAGTTTTTAGTTCTAACAATGCGCACCCGGCCGTGAAACTAATGTATATAAATGTGTTTGGTTAAATTGTCGGTCAGCCCTAGTAATTTTAAAAATCGGCCCCAAATACATTAAATAATGGAAGGTTTTTACTAAATAAATAAAGGAAAATAAATATATTTTCTTTTAAAATATTTAAAAAGTTTTTTTCAAATAAAAAACAAAAGATATACTAATCCAAAAATTTATTTCAAACATTTAATTATTTTTTAAACTTTCTCTCATTTACTGTAATGGAATTCTATATATTTTTATTACAAGAAATGTGCATGGAGTATTTAATATACAAAATTATAGCAAGTAATTGACCAAACAAAATTTTAACAAATTATAGCGAATTATTTAAGTGAGAGGAGGGGGAGGGGGGAATTGTTGAATTATATGGAGTAGAAGAATGAGAGAATAAATTGGCAATATTTTTCTTTCTCGTTTTTTTTTTGAAAAAAAAGTTTATAACCTTGTAATAATAATAAATAAATAGATGGCCTCAAAATTTTCTTTTTCCTAATTTTTTTTTTTTATTTCATTTTCTCCAATTTCTCATTTAATACCCTCTATCTCCCTCAATTCTTGTATTTTTAATAATTTTTATATTCATCTCAATTTATTCTTAAAAACTTAAAATGAGAATGTTTATTTAGTTAAAAAAAGAATTTATATTTTTCATTCCCTCAAGATAAGGAGGAGTTTTTGGGCATTTATATATTTATTAGTAGAGTAGTAGTTGATTAGCCGCCAGCCGCCTCTTTTCCCTTTTTTCCCCTTAACTTTCGCATAAATGCCTAGGCTCGTCATTTGTAAATTCATTTTTATTTCTTAACTAACCCCCCTCTCCACCCCCCCCTTTCCCCTTCCCATTTCCCGACAAATCCAATTGGTTAGGGACTTTCTTCCCTTTCATTTTCTCATCATCAAAATCTTTGTCACCCTCCATTTAATAAAAAGGCAAAATCATTTCTTTAAAAAAAAGTTATTTCCTCTTTAGCCCTTCTTAATTTATCAGGCACTTGAATATATTTTTGTGAATTACGACAAATAAGAGGTTTTGAAAATTAAATTTTTGCTTTTCCCAATTTTCCTCCTCCACACTTTTTACGTTTTTTTTAAATTAGGCTGCGTAAACGATGAATTGATGGACAAAATGGCAAATAATTTTACGTGCCAAAATTTGCCTTAATTTTTGTAAATATTTTCCTTTAAAGAATTTAAGTTTTATTTTACTTAACTAAATTTACTTTCCCCTCATTTTAGTTAAGTTTTTCTCTAAAAATAAATTATGAATTATTACTGTAACTTTTGAAAATGTTTTTTAAAATAATTTTCGACTCTTTTTGACATACGTTATAAAATTCGAACTTTAATTTGAATGATAAAAAATTGGTATAATTTAAAAAATAAATGATTTTGACAAAAAAAATCCGTGATCTTTTACTTTTTTCTTAATTTTAAATAATAAATTTTAAATAATTTTAAATAATAAAATTTAGTAATTATGAAAAAAGAAAATTCAAAATTATCCCCAATTAATTCAAATCAAGATATTTCCATTAATTTAACTAAAAACAACGATAATTCTACAAATTATCTTGCCAACGATAATAATATTATTTCAAATTTTCTTTCAAAAGGTATTTAAAATAATTAATTTTAAAATAAATTAAAAATTAAATTAATTTAAAGAAAGTTTACTTAATTCTTTGGTTGCATCCTCTTCTTCAGTTCCTTCAACTTCTTCCCCTATTTTTTCACCAACATCAAATTCTTCTTTTAATTATTGTGGAAGTAATACAGGAGGGGGGAATATACTCGCTAGAAATAGTACAAAAACTTTAAAATGTCCAAAATGTAATTGGCATTATAAATATCAAGAAACACTTGAAATACACATGAAAGAAAAACATGCTGATCAAGAAGTAAATTAAAAGGGGAAAATTAAATAATTATTTTTATTTTTAAAAGGTTTTATGTCTCTTCTGTTTAGAAAATCAAACACATCCAAAACTTGCTAGAGGAGAAACTTATTCTTGCGGCTATAAACCTTACAGGTATTTAATTATTTAGGTAATTAAAATAAAAATTTGAAAAGATGCGAACTTTGTAAATATTCAACAACAACAAAAGGCAATCTTTCAATTCACATGCAATCTGACAAACATTTACATGCTTTACAAGAAATCCCTCAATCGTTGGCGGCTGCTGCTGTAGCTGCTAGTAAATTTTTGTTTTCTTTATATTTAAATCAGAAATTTATTTTGGATTTGTAAAATTAATTTTAACCTTTTTACATGTTTTTAATTTTTTTGAAATTATTGCTTGCTAAATAGACACTATTATAACCCCTCAAACTTGGATCCGGCCTGATTATTTCTAAATATTTATTTTTTTAAAAAGGTTCTTCTCAATTAATACTCGGAAATACTCAATTTAATAACAACAATAATTATTCATCAACACAACAAGAATTTGTAGATATTTCCAATACTTCCTCAAATAATTCTAAAATAATTGGGGGATCTCTTCAATGCTTAATTTGTTTTAATTTTTATACTGATATTTCTGAAATTATGGTTGAACATGTAGAAAAGGATAGAAGCCTAACACAAGAATGTGATATTTCCACAATTAATGGATATTTTCAAGTAAATTAAAAAGAGATTATTTTAAATTTTAAATAATATTATCTAGTGTTTAATATGTCCATACAGCACTAATTTAAAAGCAAACTTTCAATTACACACTCGTACAGACAAACACCTTCAACGTGTTCAAATGGTTAATTAATTTATTTTTACTAAGAAATCTAAAAATTAAAATTAATTTTTATTTTCAATCCAAAAAAGAGAGAAAAGACGAGACATTCCTTGTAAAATATAGCAAACCAACAATTTTGTTTGGAAAATAATTTTTGTTTGTTTCTAATCAAAATTTTGTGTTAAATGAGGTGTGGAGTTTGTCGATATTCTCTCCCTCACCAAAAAAGAATAAAAATATCCTTGTAATTTATTCTCTTAAAAATTATTTTTATTTAATAGATTAATCATTTACGAGAAGGAATTACTGGACTTTTTGGACAATCCGAACAATTTTCACGACTTGGAACACTAAAAAGTGCTGTTCAAGTACGCTGTCAGGAATGCGAAGAAATATTTTCTTGGTAAAATTAAAATTAATTTCCTAAAAAGAGAACTAAAAAATTAAAATTAATTTTTCAAAAAAAATATCCAAAACCAAATTTTTTCGTATTTAAAATCCTTGTCGGGTTCCTATTTAATTCATAAAACCCTTGTCACGATCGTAAAGCTAAACAACCGATAAAAAGGCGCCTTTTTACCGTAGAAAAAGAATTATTATTTGTTTGTTTGGTAAAAATGGGCGCAAATAAATTAATGAAAAAAAGAGAGAGAAATTTAAGAGAAATATTAAATATTCTTTGTAAAAAATTTATTTGATTATTTAAATTTTTAGAGATTTTATTACTTTAACCAACATAAAAAAAAGTGCACTTTGAATTTAAAAATAAAAATAATAATTTTTGTTAAAATTTTATTAAATTTTTTCTATCAAAAATATTTTGTAGTTATTTTAATTTTAATTTAAAATTAAATTTTCCTCAGTATTCCAACACTTCGAGAACATTGCCAATCTTATTCACACCAAATTCGAATGATTGGAAGTGGTAGATGTTTACAAAACGAGATTGAAAATGTTTTGGAATCTTTTTTGAGTGAATTGTCTTTAAGTTGTGGAATTTGTGATTGGGAAGAGAATGGAAATGAAAAAATAATTTCTTTGGCTTTTGGTTTTTAAATTGAGGATAACTATTATTTTTTTAATTTTAGAGCATGCCAACACTCATTCCGAACAATTTATTGAAATCACAAAACAAACTGATTCAAATAAAGGTAAACAAACCTTTTAATTTTTGGTTATTTATTCAAAATTAAAATTTGTTCTATTTCGAGATTTAATGGGCCAAATATTTAAAAAATATATATAAAGAAAATGCGCGGCAGGAAATCCCTGCCGCAAACAATAATAAAAAAGCCTAAAATAATTTTAAAATGTGTTGACCCCAAACAAATTTTCGCCACCTTTAACTTCCTTTTTAGCTGCGGTGCTTTTTAAATATTTTTATTTTTAAGGTGAAAAATAAATATATTTTTATTTTGAACCTTTTTTTTGTTTTTAAGTAAATATTTGGGAGGGATCTACCATTAATATATTTTTTCCGATATATTTTTTACTCCAAATCTAATATTAAACAGAAATTAACATCTAATTAGATATCAACAATAATATCCTTCTTATCACTTTAGGTATTTCAAAAATATTTTTTAAAAATTCTCTCTTTTTTTCTCTAATTAAAAAAATTCGATAATAATTATTTGAATTTTAGCCTTAATTAATTTTTATTTTATTTACATAAATATATTTATTTTCATTCTGCCATTCACTATAATTTATTATTTCTGTTGAATTTTAATGGACTCGTACCAACAATACTAAATAACACTCCATTATTATCCAAATTCCAAGGTCAAAAACAATATATAATATATTTATTTACATATTTGGAATATATTTTTAAACAATAAAATTTGCAAAAAAAAAAATTAATTACATTTTCGGGACCTAATTGACAAAAAGTTGTTTTTTGGAAATAGTCAAATCCTAATTTATCAATTCGGTATTGAAATTTTTCTAAAATCAAAAAACTTTAATGAATATCTAGATTTTTCCCTTTTTCGAATTTCTAAATTCCTTTCAAATATACAAATTTAATTACTTTTAAATTATTTGAATTAATAACTATTTGTTTTTATATTTTCTTAAAAATAAAATTAATTATATACACACTTTTATTAAATTTAATTCTTTTATTTCTGGCGAGGAATGCCAAATCCTTTATTTTCTATTATTCTCTCCCCCCCCCCTTCCTCAAGAAAGCATTAACCCCTCTAAATCCCCAAAATCCTCATTCATTAAAAATAATCTTCTTCCCCCTCCCCTTCTTTTCCGACTTGTTGCCCTTCCAAAAAAGCTAAACAACACTCTCCCCCAATTTTTGACTGTTTTAATTGTCCTTCCATTCATTGTCATTATTTTCCCCATAATTTTCTTCACACCCTTGATAACCACCTAAAATTCATTCATTACATAAATATATTTATATCGAGTGTCTGGCCACCAAAAACAACCAAACAATAGATTTTTTGGTTATTTTGACCGAGCATTTCTCTCTCTCCTCATTTATTAATTCCCTAAATTAATATGTAAATTCTTTAATGCCTATTTTACTAAAAATAAATTATTTTTCATTAAATTTTAATATTAATTCTTAATTTATTTATATGGACAAAAAATGTTAATTCTTGTAGTCTATACATCTTTGTACATTTTAAGATAATTTTTCTCAAATACTGTTAAATTTATCTAAAATAAGATTCTTTCTATTGTCTAGGAAGGAATACCCAAAAATGTTTTTTTCACTGGTGCTTGGAGTTCGGACCAAATTTCGAACAGCGTTAGTACGAAGTGCGAGTACGGGACTGTTCTTCTCTCCCAATCATTTAAAATTTTCTGAACTTTTCTGATCTCGAAGAATAAACTAAAAATCATAGGAGGAACGATTACTATCAAAAAAATATATTTTTTAAGTTTTAATACTAATTTTTGATGCCCTGTTTACAATTTAATTCCCTACCGCGCATTTCTGATTACTATATTTATTAATGTGTTATTAATAAATTATTTAAAAATTAAATAAACAGATTTTTCTCATTTAATATTCTAATCTCTTCACGTTAACAAAATAAATAGTAAAATAAAAAATCTTTTTCTTTCTCTTTTTTAAAGCTTTGAATTATTTTCATTATTCATTCAACCTCATACTTATTGTCAGCATGAGACAAATCAAATTATTTTAATTCATCATCAAAATCCCTTTCATTAAATCTCCAATTTCATCAACTCTATTCATTTATTAAATTTACGCGCACACATTAATGTGATTAAGTGACTGGAGAGATGATGACTACCCTCCTCCTCCCTATTATTAATAAAAACTTTTTTAATGTAATATTTCAACCATTATTCCCAATTCGACAATTTACTAATAATATCATAAATAATTCGATATTTTGATCATCCAAACATAATTTTATATCTCTAAATAATATAAAGAATTGACAAAATTTTACTAGAAATCACATTCTCGGGTTCAGTGATTTAATATCAATTTTAATTTACGGATCCTCCACAAGTAATTTGAATGATCTAATAAGGATCTCGATACTTGATTTAAAAATTTAAGTACAAGCCATTATCTCCCAAATTTTCTTCTTTCATTTTCCTTTCCCTGGTGAATCTTGGTAATAAAATTCCGCGGCTCGCCTTGTTAAATAAACTTGATCATCTTACATTTATAGCTATTGGCCATTTTAATTTTTTTGATATTACCATAAATTTAATTATCAAATACTAAATAAATGTGTATTTTGTTGATTGTTGGGAAGACAACATTTCATGCCATTTTCCCTTACGACACCAAGCGTAATTTTTCTTTTGATTAATAAACTAATAATATAAATAAATTTATTTTCATTATATAAAATACAAATAAGCGGTTTAGCGAATAAAACTATTGTGTAGTCAATGATGCGTAATAAATTTTTGGGGCAAATGAATTAAAAGTATTACTATAATAAAATAAATAAATATATGTGGTTGTCTTCTCTCGTTAATCCAACTTAAACTTTTCACAAATTTATTTTTCTTCTCTCAATTCTGTCACCTATTTTTGCATTCCCATAATCATCAAATGCCTCATTTCAATAATTTTTATTTATTTTGTTTAGATTTCTCTAAAATTTAATATTAAAAAAAAGAAATGTTGATCAACCAACCAGCCAGCCAAACATTTCTTTTTTTTCCTTAAAAAGGAGAGAGAGGGAAAATGAAGGAACCAACCGCCCTTTTTTCTTCAATTTTCTCCTCTCCCATACCCTTTTTAATTTTGGTTTTCATCTTTTCCCGTCGAAAAGCCTTTCCACACATATTAGGTAGAAAAAAGCTTGGGAATCACGGTTTTGTGCCTTTGATGACATAAATAAATAAATATTGGGACATTAAATATATAAATTAAATTAAAAATTGTCGGCCAAAGATAAAAATAAAAGAATCAATTGGGGAATGAATGTTTTTTATTAAAATATTTTTTGGATTGGATTGGAAATTGAAAATTTGTTTTTAATTAATTTTCGAGAGTTTAATTTTCCAATACATTTTTAAAATAATTTTTTGTTTTTCTCGAATTCTTCTTTTTATATTTAAATTTCTCATAATAATTTTATGTTTTGCTTAATTATTTAAAAAATAATTATAAAATTATTTTTTCATTATTAAAAGGCGTTAATGAATTCTTTTGCTACCGTAATTCTTCTCTCTCTCATTTACTTTAACGCTAACAAACAAACCATTCGTTAATGCCGCCTCTTTTGCTTACTATACATTAAATAACTAATTTGTTTAGTTTTTCTCTACAATTTTAAACATTAATTTTTAAATAAAAAATATATATTTAAAAATTTAAAATCAGTTTTGGCTTTCTCAAAAAAATATTTGTTGCTCTAGTCACAATTTGGGGCTAAAATTAATTTATTAGTATTTTTTAAATAAAATTAATTACTAAAAATAAAGAGAGAAAATAAATTCAAAAATTAAGAGAAAATATTTAAAAGAATGTTTAGTTAATTAATTTTTGGGAGTGTCGACAATTAATTATTTTAAGATATTTTCTTTAAAATTATTTTTGATAATTTCGGAATTTTTTTATCTAAAAAATATTAATTTAAAATTAATTACAGATTTATTTCTAAGCACTTTCCCCTCTCTTTGCCATTTATTTTTTATGCGCTGATTTTATCTTTCATTATTTTCAACATATTTTTATTTTATGGCCGCTATTTATCCCCAATCATTTCCTTTATTTTTATCGATTTAAAAAAATATAAAAATTCTTTTGTCAAAAAGTTTCCTTAAAAAATATTTTTCTAATTAATTTTATTTATTTAAATCTCTTTAAATCTACAAATTTATTAGACTTTTTTAAAACCTTTTTTTGTTTACAAAATATTATTATTTTTTAATTAATTAATTTTTCCTTTTTTTCTTTTTTATCAAAAATATATTAGGTCGGGTCATAATTAGTGTCGCTTTTTTTCGGTTAAATTTTTAGGGGTGTTATTTTACAAATATTATTTTTTCTTTTTAACCAACATAAAGATCTGAATCTACTCTTCATTTTAAAACCAGGTTTAGGTATATATGAGTGAAATTCATAAAGTTATGATTTTTTGAACTTCCCTACCTCGTAGTGAAATTCTCAAGCATTTGCACCATGAATTATAAATTACCAAAAATGTACACAAGAAGCAAAAAATCTTAATGATCTAGTCAATGGGATCGTTGTCTATGCTAGACAGCAAGAATAGGGTTCAGGCTTTACGTTGGAGGCCGTATGACTCCCAGAAGCAGACATGGTCGAGGAAGACGGGTGTCATTAAGAATAACGGTCCTGCTCGGCTAGCTTAGGTGAAATCACGTTATTTCTACTGCTGAACTATCGAGGGATATCTGCTCTATACATACAGCAAAGCTTGACTGAAAAAACGCTGGCTGCGCTTAAGGAGAGTAAATCAAGTGCCGCATGTACTCACATTTCAAAAATGAAACAAACGACATGACATCACCCCCAAAAACGTTTTCTTAGAACTCAGCGTAAAATCATCCGATCAGGATGATCTAAACGGTTTTTTGAATCTCATAGAGGGCTTATACTAAATCCGAAATATAAAGTCTGTAGATCGTGTCGAACCCCGGAATTCGAATTTCGACTTTTTCGAAAATTTAGACCTTTCTTAATAAAAATTCGAAATTGTGCCCAACATTTAGAGATTTTGAAGAGCTTTCGAATGATATATCACACTAACTATTATAATTACGTATACTTGAGAAAATTTGATTCCCGATGATTTCGGGAATTTTGATATTTTCGACCAGAACTCCCTGAATACCTAACGAAAAATTCTCAAATGCTGGGATCCTTTAGAGCATAGTCTAACAGATGATTCGTAATAAAAATAAAAAAATTTTTCAGAAAACTTAATTTTAAAAATCGAAAAAACCCAATTAAAAAAAGCGACACTAATTATGACCCGACCTAATACATATATTTAAACTCTAACAATTTCTTTACTTTTTAATAAAAGTAAAGAATTTTTAATTAAAAAACATATAAATTAATTTATTATAAAAATACATATATTTATTTATTCAAAACCAAATCTTTCCTTTTCTCTTTTTCTTTAATTTTTCTTTCACTTTTTGGCAAAAATAAATAAAAAAAATAAATATATTAAATCCTTAGGGATATAAATGTTCTGACTTTTTTAAATATAAAACTTTAAAAACGTTTTCCCCTCTCTCCTTTTTTCTTTAACCAAAAATCTGCCACCCCTCCCCTCCCCTCACCCCCCCCCCAACACGCATTAATCTTGGCACACTCCGAAATTACTAGTTTTGGAAGAGTCCAACACCTCCTCTTCTCCTTCTCTCTTTTCTTATAAACTTTTTAGTTTGACTGATGAATGAGAGTGGGAAATAAAGGAAGAAAAAAGAATTGCCACACACTTTTAAATATATCCTTTTTATTTTGGCGGTTGATTTTTCGACATTTTCAGTCATTAATCAATCTGTAAAAGATTTAAATTTTACTAGTTTTAAAATCTAAATAGTACACTTAAACTCTTTTTGTTTTTTACTCTTTTTTGAATTTTTTCTTTAATTGTTTTAATTCAGAAACATTTTTTTGCAAAAAAAATAGGTTTTTAATTTAATTAAATTATATGTATCATAATAACAAATCTTTTCATTTTTCTCACTTATTATTCCTCTAATTTATGTTTTAAATAATTTCTGATTAGCTTATTAAACTTTCCTTTTCAATTACCAATTTTTTATTTATTAATTAAAAAATATTAATAAAAAATCAAAATATCTTCTATAATTTACAGTATTTTCTTTCTTTAATTAAATTATTATTTTAATTTATTTTTCCTCAATTCATTTATTAAAATAAAAAACAAAATATCCCCTTCCTTCCCCACATTTATTTGCATTTCCCCTCCCTCCTTTTCCCTCATATTTTTTTAATTCCGATATAGAAAATAAATATCTGCACCTGCCATACATATTATGCCTTCCTTCCTTCATCATTAACCGCTTTTTCCTTCCTTCCTTTCCTTCCTTCCCTTCCATCATCCTCACTTCCATAATTTGATCGCGCTAATCGCTTCCATCTGTTTTAAAGCAATTCTTTTGTCGGTAATCATTGATGATGGCCAATAACTTTTTTTTCTTTACTTTTTAAAGTGTTTGTGCTATTAAAATGAGGAAAGAAAATAAAAAAAATAAATGCCGGCAAATCATAAAAAACCTTCGGGAAAAAACCATTCCCTCCTCAATTCTCGCTTAAAAACATTCATTTATATATTTTAAGGACATTTTTAGACAATTTTTTAAATAAATTATGTTTATAATTTCTTAATTTTTAGAAGAAGAAATTAACGAAAATAAAAATATTAACAACAAAAACTTTGAGGAAAAAGAAGACAATTTAATTAATTGGGAACAATTAGATAAATATTTAATTAATGCTGGATTGGCTAAATATATTAAAAGTGAAGAAAATAATAATAATTCTGAACAGAAATTAGGTGAGTAGTTAATTTTTGAAGTTGTCTAGATAATAGTTTGTTTAGAGATTGTAAATAGAATTATTCGAAATCAAATATAAATTTTACTTCTCTTAATTATTCTGTTAATGTGTTCATTATCATTTTCTCTTTTATTTTCTATTTAATTCATTCTTGTAAACAGTTGCTGGGCTAACTAAATTTTGAAATTTGAGAACTCTAATAAGTTTTTAAATAAAATAACTAAACAAATGATTAGTAAAATTGGGCAAAAGCCGAAAATCATTTGGGGATTATTTTTTGAAACATTAACTACCTACACAAATTGTTAGTTAATCTTTTTATTTTTAAATTAATCTTTTAAAATTTAAAGAAAATAAAATTTTGTTTAATTTTTGATCACATTTACTATATCTTTATAGATCCTCCTTTAATATAAACGATGATAATTATACCTAATAATTATATCTAAAAACTTTGTTTTTCATTTCTAGCAAATTTCCGAATCTTTTGAAAAAAAGATTGATAATTATTTAGTTAAAAGATAATCTTTTTTAAAATAAATTTATTATCTTTACGCTTTGCTCTATAAGTTTACTGTAATAAAAGAAGCAAAAAATAATTTGTATATCCCCTCATTTATTTGCGCGGAAATGCCATTTTATCAAATATTTTCTTTCTTTTTTAAATATTTTAACAATTATTTATTTGTTTTTTTGCCATTTTTGTTTAAATTTTAGTATACCATTTATGTACTAATAAAAAATATTTTTTTGTTTACTTTAGTCGGTTAACACTTCTTTGTTCTTCGCTCTGCGCGTGCCCATCACCTTTTTATTTTTTTCCAAATTATTTATTTGTTTTTTGTGTCCCCATTTTCTTAAAACAATTTTCCTTTTTATCTTCTTTTTAACGCTTTTTCTCTTTTTTTATTTTTTGTGGCCACTTCACACCTTTACCGGCACATATTATAAGAGCGCAGCTCTTCATCAAAGAATTTATTTATCTACAAAAGTGTGTCCGCTTTTTTATTTGCTACTTTTTTTGTAAATATAAGTGACTAAAAATATATGGAAGAATTTTAGAAAGGGAAAAAGTGTTTCGATTTTTAAATTTTGATTTATTTATTTTACACAATTCTCAAAAATTAAAAGAAGTTTCGGATTTTTAAACTCGAAATTTTCAAATTTTTTTGAAGAAGAGCATCTAATTCCCCTCATTTTATTCCCGAAAATCTAAAAAACTCTAAATATATTTTCGTTTTTTTTTAATTCCTTCCCCCTTTCCTTCCCTTTCTTCCCTTTTCTAATTTAAATTAAATAATTTTTTTTAATTTAAATTTTTAATTAAATGACTAATTCTTCTTTCCAAATTATTTTCTTCTTATTTAATTTATTTTAAGTAATTCTTCAATTAATTTTTTCGTTAAAGTGAATGATTTTCTTTTTAAATAATTTTAAATTTTTTTTCAATTATTTAATTAGTAATTTTTAAAAATCCCTAAAAACATTGATTAAAGTGAAAGTTTTTTTTTCTATTAATATATATTGCCGCCTCGATTGTTTCCGCGCAAACAAAAAAAATAAAAGTGAGGCCATTGTAGAAACAACAACAATCCATTAACAACAACCCTCTTTAAATAAATATATTTTTCCTCTAATAATAATAAATATACCTTTGGCCTTTACTACATACAATTAACTAAAATATTATTATTTTATTTAGAGTGTTTTCACCTTACATTTTTTTTAATTTTCCTTTCATTTCACTTTTTAAAAGTTTATTTTAATTTTTAATTATTTTTTAATTTAATTTTTAATTTAATTTTTAATTTAATTTTTAATTTAATTTTTTTTATTAATTTTTAGTTAAATGTTCTTTTTGTCCTGCCGAATTTACTATGCCTAAATTGTCTAAGCATATTTCTGAGGTAATTAATTAATTCTAGCAATAAATTAGTTAACAACTTTTTAATTTCACAAAACACAAATACATAAATAAATAGATATTTTAGAATTATTTTAGAACTTTCCTTTCAATATTTAAAAACAAAAAATTATTCCAATCTAATTTCTAGGAGCACTCTATTCCCGTAGATATTGCCCACCAATTAACCAACCAAATTGACGAAGATTATCAACATAAAATGCCCACAAATCAAGAAAAATTGTTGGAAGATTCTATTGTTTGCAGGTTTATCAAAAAAATTAATTAGAATTTTTGGATTATTTTTTTGTAAAATTATTCCAACAAAAGATGCCCACTCTTTTTCTAATTTATTTTTTACCAAATTTGGCCAAAAAAATTAATTTTTAAATAAATAAATTAGCGCCGAATTTCTGCCTATTGACAAAAACAATTTTTAGGGGAAAATTAAATGTGTGAATATGCATATTTTAAATAAATTGAAATAATGAGGTTGGGTGGGGAAAGGGGGAAGGGGAAGGAGGGACCGATCAACTAAACCATTAAAGGAAGAAATTTTAAAAAATTGTGGTTTTTTAAATATTTTTATTTTTTTAAATTTTTAATTGGAATTTTAAGATTATTTAATTCCTTTAATTAAAAAATCGGGGTTCTTGAAGAGAAAAACTTAAGAATTTAACCGCTAGAATTGACATTTCAACCATTTTTTGATTTATATGTATAGAAATCAGAATCATTTTTCTACTCGTTCTCTTCCATTCAATTTTCACAAAATCCCCTTATAAATTTAAAATTTTAGTTCCTCCTCCACATCCTCAATGCCTACTAACTTGCCAACTTCATCTGTCCCTTCAAATAAAGAAGACGAAAATAATATTCCTTCAACTTCCTTTAAACAACAATCAGAAGAAAATATTTTTAGTTATAAATGTACTCAATGTTTAAATAATATTGCTTTTCGAACTGAAGAACAATTAAAGGCTCATTCACTTTGCCATTCACCAGCACGTTTTAAATTAAAAAGAAAAATTGGTGGAAATGAAAAACAAAAAATATTTAAATGTGATGTTTGTCAAGATTGTTTTGATACAAATGGGGAACTTTTAGAACATTTTAATTCCGAAAAACATTTACAAAAAGCCGCAGAGAAAACAGGAGGAATGGAAGAAGATGAAGTTGTTAGATCACGTCTAAATTCAAATGTAGGATTTTTATTGAAAAGAAAAAATTCAATACAGTCGAATCTTAATTTTACATTAGGACTAAAAATGTTTAATGTTATACGCCTCTTCCTAGTTTATACGTTTCTTATAATCAGTGACCAATCAAATTTCAAAATCGTAAATGAATTGAGGTGTCTCTATTATCGGGTTTTATATAATTGTGATGGATTTATTGAATTTTAATAAATAATTTGGGGCAAATGCCCGGTTGATGATTCGGAATATTTCCCTTTAATGTCTCCCTTTAATCTTTATCTAAAAATTCGTTTTATTTCACCCTACAATTTTTATCATCAAAAATCCCTATTTTTAAAATACAAATCAAATATAAATTTTTAATATTCTAATTAATTTTTTAAATTATTTTTAGCAATTCTCCTCAACCTGTTCAACATCCAGAACTCCATCAAAATCTTCAACTTCCAAACAATATTCAAATTCCCGTCGTAATAGTGCCAATTCTTCTAATAACAAATATTTACCTTATATTTGCAATATTTGTTCACTCTCTTTTGGTCAACCAGGCACTTTAGATACCCATCTTAGGTTGTTGTTAGTGATTATAAATATTTAATTTTAAAATTATATTTAATTAAAGATCAACAGCACATGCACAAAGAATTGTTAAATTAAATGAATTAGTCAAATCTGGAGAAATAAATCCACAAGTGCCAGTTTTTGAACAGCCTGAACCTCATCCACCTCAGCGAAGTATTGGAGAGCTTTTACGTGAAAAGAAAAAGGTATTCAAATTTTAATAGGTATCTGAACTGATAACTAAAAGTTTAAATTGGCATTTTATCCTTTCGAAGAGAGCCTTCTCCTCAGAGTTTGAGTATTTCTCTAAATTTTTTTGATTATTTTTTGGGTCTCCTCCTCTTTCTCTCCGGGATCTCTCATTTATTTTCAAAAATTTTTCTCTTCGTGATCTTCCTTTATATAAAGTTTTTGCTTTCTCTCAGGAAGACCTTCCCTCTCTTCTCATCCTTTATAGGGGTCAGTGTCCCTTCCAATTTACCACTTACCTCCGAATTTTACGCACATTTACTAAATTTTATATTTTCCACTAAATGAGTGCGCGATCCTTCAAACAATAACATTTTTGTTTGTTTCACCCCTTTTTGTATTGTTCTTCTCATTTTTATTTTCTTTTATTTATAATTCACCCCAATTTCTTTTTTAAAATAATACTTACGGTGTATTTTTGTCGGCCACGATTGCCATCTTAGTTTGCCCCCTCCCCTCCCACCCCTTCTCATTTTTTCTCATTTACCAGCTTCAATTCAAAAATTTTCCCCTTCACCTCTCTGGGATACCTACAAACACTTTACTTATTTATACTCATTGGCGACGGTAATTTTTGTGTGTGTATATGCTGAAACGGAGACAAACACATCCAGCGGCGAGTAGTGGTAATAAATTTTTGAGTTTTTATTGTTTGGAGAAAGGCGTATAAATTTTAAGGGAAAGGGTTAAAAGGAGAAATAAAAAAAAAGAAATTTAGATGAGCCCAAAATTGGGCAAATAATGAGCCGTGAGTATTTTGAAAATAATATAGGTAGAAAATAAATAAATAATGAGTGAGAAAGAAATTTCTCTTATACACGCGCAAAATTGGGAAAATTGGGAGGTTGAATGTAAAGTTAAAATAATAATAATTGTTGAGAGCATTTTTCTCACATTTTGAATTATTAAAAAGAATAATTTTATGAAATTTTTTGTTTGCCTAATCAGTAATTCTTCTCAATTGAAGGATATTTTATTAAAAAGACTTTTGAGGCCATTTTTTTTTATTTTTCTTTGATCGACAAAAAATTGAAGTTACCACAAGGGATCGCGCCGACAGAAAATCAAATTCCCAAATTTCGGGAATCGTTAATTCCCGAAAATTTCGAATTCACGATTTTTGTGAATCGTGAATCGAGTCGGCGCAATCCCTGTTACCTACATTTTAATGGACTATCTAACTTTATGTTTCAGAGAAATGGTTAACTTTCCTGACAGCAACTATCTAAATAAATATAATTTTATTTAATATTATTACTAATTTTTGAATTATTTAGTATCTAACCTATCTCATTTCATTAAAATTTTAACCACTTCAATCTCCACACTCTTTTTGACTTATTTACCCTTTCAATTATTTTCCTCCATTCCTACCTTTTCAATTTAAATTTTATCCCTTTTATTTTTTCCATTATTGCCAACCAACCAGCACTTCAAAATTGACACTCTCTCATTTTGTGTCGCCTACTTCAACTTTGGCCAATAATTTAAAATCCCTCCTCCATTAACTTTTTTTCTTTTTTTATTTACTTTCCCAAACACCTTTAATAATAATTGCCAGGAACCACAGACTGTCACTTCTTTCCTTCTCTTTTTTACTTTACATTTTGCCCAAATAAAATAGGCTTTTTGGCATTAATCCTTTAAACTTAAAATTTCCTTAAAAAATTTTAGATTATTATTGGATAATGTAAATAACCCCCCCCCCCTCTCCCCCCCCCCTAAAAAATTAGTTACTTGAAAAACTCAAGTCTTAAAAGTTTTTCGTCGTAACATTTTGCATTTTAAAATTTCCTCACAATAATTACCGCATGAAAATTTCTTTTTTTTTGGCCAATTAACGGTTTAGTAGAAAAGTGAAATGAAAAGAAAATGAAAGGAAAAGAGAGAAAAAATATAGAAAGGGACAGCAACAAAAAAGTGAAAGCGTTAAATACTATAGTGGGGAGAGGGAGAGTTTTGTTTTTAGTAAAAGCTTTGGACGTAGATTACGGTGAATATATGTAGGTATTTATTTTGTGATTAAAAGACAATGGAATGTTTTTTCTTTTAAAAAATCTATTAAATTTCTAAATAAACTTTACCTAAATGATTCATTAAAAAATCCCAAAAATTTCTCTTATTTATATTAAAAATTAAAATTAAACTTTATTTAGTCTCTTTTTTTATTCAGATTACCTCAGAACATCAAAAATGATATTATTTAATTTTATTTATTTATTTATTTAATTTCTCAATATACATAATTACAAAAACAATTATTATTTTCCTAAATTGACAGCTCATTCATTCTCGTTTCTTCAAATTAAAAAGAAATTCTCTTCCAAAAAAATATTTCACTCATTTCTCTTACTAACAAACATGATGCCCTTCTTTTCTTTAAATAATCATTTCCTCCAATATTTCTTCTAAATACACACCTTTATTTATTTATATGCTTTTTTCTCGCCGTGTCATTAATTTTGGCCCATTAAAGAAACCTAGGCCTCCATTCTCTCTCTAAAAAATCTTTTTTTTCTCCTTATTTTAGCGGCCCAAAACACTTGCGCCCTCTTTTATAGAAGACAGGGCCTTTTCCTCTTTTTTTAAAAAACCTTTTCCTTAATTCATTTCTTCAATTTATTTTTACCTTTTTCTTTCCTCAATTTCCCCAAAAATATTTATTTTATTCCCTCACTTCATTTTGTCCTCTTTTCATTTTTTTATGTTTTCAGAGCCCTTTTTTCATTCCACTCATTCCATTCTCGCCAAAGACCTTTATTGTTAGCGGCTCACCTTCCCCCTTCCTCTTCCCTCTCTTTACTAATATATCATTAACAAAAAAATATTTATTATTATTATTTGCGCCAGCATTGAAAAAAAGATTTATATTTATTTTACTAAACTAGGCCTACCAATTTTATCTTAATTTTTCTGAAATGGGGTAAAAATAATGAATGAGAGGAATGAGAATGCCTCATTTAATGGAAGCCACGCATAATCACAAAATAATTTTAATGACGGACGATCAGCGTTGTCTATAAATATTTTAAATTGACGGTTGCTGACACACACAAACAATTTTTTAATAAATATATTTATTAAAATTGTTCTCTCCCCCCCCCCTTCCATAATAATCCTCATTTTAATATATTGGGCATAATAGAAAATGTTGGGCATGAGAGAAAATTACTTTTTTTTTAATTTTTGGTGAATGACTAATATAATATTTAATTGTGATAATTTATTTACGTTAAATAAAACATTTAAATTATTACAATAAATTATATTGTAAATGTCAGGATGCGATTCTTTTTTGCCATTCTCTCCTATCTCCTATCACTTATTTATAGATAACGAATCAATCAACATCTTTTATAATTAAGTTTCGTTTCAATTTTGACAATATTCTTATCTTATTATTTGAGTCAAAGTTTGATTTTACAATGTCCGGAACTAGAGACAAAATTGGACATTGAATATCCAATACTTTAAATATCTACATATCTACATTTTTATTTAAATTTTTTTTATAATTAATTAATTAATTTTAATTAATTTTACCTCAATTTTTTTAATAAATCAATTTTAAAAATTGCTACAAACATTGTTGTCGACCTTGATCCGATTCGAAGCTGACAGAGTGGTACGAAAGAGAAGAATCGTATATATAATTGCGTTTTTCGCTGTGTTGAGGGAAAGGACTAATTAATTTGTAAATGAGGGAGAGAGGACGAGTTTTTGGGAAATTAAGGGAAAATTAGAAAAAGAAAGAAAAAGGATTGGTTATTGCTTGAATTCAGAGTTTTTATCTAAAAACAAATTTTTATATTTAATTTATTTCTCTTTTACTAATTTTTAAATTTTCTTTCTAATAAAACAATTTTCCCATTCATTACCTCTAATTTTATTTTTTACCTCTTCTTCCTTCTTTTTGACTTTTTCTTTTGTTTCCTACATTACCGCGCTCTTAATTACCAGTCGAATGAAATTATTTAAAAAAAGATGGTGGATTGCCTGGGTCGGCCGTGTCTATTTATTTTATTTTTAATTGCTTTCCTCCGATCAATGCCATATATCTAACCATTAGAATTAAAACTTTTGTTGACAAAATCCAGAAATGGCGATATGGTTAATTACCCACATACACATAAAATAGTAAAATTGTTTTTTTCTTTCCCTCTAAATTGTCATCAAAATGTTTTTAATTATTTTCAAAATTTATTTTATGGCGACGCTCAATTTGTTTTTTCATCTAGCCGGTAAATTAGTTAGGCTTTATTTTATTAATATCTCTTTTAGTTTCTATATGAATCAACTGTCGGAATAATCTTAATAATCTTAATACACATACTTCTCTAAATAACTTCGGATTGGATCGAGAGTGACTTTTTATATTTAATTATTCCCCAATATTTTAGTTGTTCTTACGAGTTTCAAAAACATCAACAAAAAATTTGTTTTCCTTCCTCTCCTCCTTCCTTTCTGCCAATTTATTACATCCGCCTATGTTGTTTTTTATTGTTACTTTACCCCTTTTATTCTCCCCCAAAAAATAGCCAATTTAGGCCAATTCATTTCCAGCCAGTCCAGGCCAATTTTCGCCTTCTTTTAACCGCGCCAATTCTCGCCTCCCAACAAATTATATCAAAATTTTTATTCCCGCCGTGTCCCTTTTAGGAGAGCTTTGCCCCTCCCCTTCAATTTATTTACACGCCGCCCCTTTCTCGACTACTTATGTGTTTGTTAGGTGCAAACGACGGGGCGCAAATATTTTTGATTTAATAATTTTACAGTCATTTTGCTTCAAAGCAGAGTGAATAATTAAAATTACTATGGGCACCAATTTTGCGCCTAATTTTCTTTCTGCCTGGAGCGCCATAAAATCTGTGAAATTAAATTGTGTACCTACAATTATATTACTTTACCCTTTTTTAAACTTTACAATCAAATTTATTATTTATAAAATTTTAATATTTAAATATATGTTAATGGCAAATATAGTAGAATGCTTTTAATAAAAAATAAATTTTTAATTCAAAAAATGTAAATTAATTTACATACTTTACCAATTTCTTTTTAATTTACCGTCATTTATAAATAAATCTTTTTTTTTTCTAGCAACAAAAAATGGGAAAGCTAACAGCCATTCCAACACAACAACAACCCTCAATTCCATCAACCTCAACAACTTCTGAACAAAATAATAATATTCTAGATTGGTGGAGAAATAATTTATCAGAGCAATCAACAAATAATAATTCTAATTTGATTAATACTTTTATGTCACAAATATTTAATAACGATTCTCAACAAAAACAACAAAACGATGTTGATCCTTTTTGTACTTTACAAATGGCACAAATAGCACAAATGATGTTAAGTGCCCAAATGACTGCAGCTGCACAAATGGCTTCTTTGAATTCTGAAAATGGAGGAAATGGTCTAAATAAAATTTTATTTAAAAAATATAATTAATTTATGAGATTATTATTCGATTAATCCACGAGTAATTATTGTCATTGTCTTTACGAGTATTATTAACTCAAATAATATTTTTATTAATTATCTGATCACCAAATTTCTCTGTAAAATTCACAATTAAAATTTAATTTTTAGGTTTTTTGGATCTTCTTGGCATTAAAAATGAAGAAGAAACAATTATTAATAAAGAAGTAGACAATAATCAAGAATTAAATAAAAGTGTTAGTCCATATGAAGAGCCTCGAGCCAAAAAACCTAAAACTGAACGAAAATTTTCTGAAAAGCCAGGAAATAATGAAATAAAGAAAAATAGCCAAAATAATCAAATTAATGATAATTCTGATCAAAATGGAAGTTTTAATCAAAATAATAATTACGGAGATTTTGCTTCTGTATTGCGTGCACTTACTTCTTCCTCTGCTAATTTTGCTGGTGCTGAACAATCAACAACAACAAATTTATTAGATACTTCTTCTGACCCTCTTTCTTCTCAATTTCCTTCAAATCAAATAACATCGACAGATGATCCAACAGCTTTTTTAATGGCAACAATGGCTGCTGCAGCAACCCAAAATGGTGGAGGAAATAACAATAATAATCAGACAACAACGACAAATAACAATAATAATCAACAAACAAATAGTGGAAATCAATCTCCTTCAGCACAGCAAAAACGAGCCAGAACAAGAATTGGTGATGATCATGTTAAGATTTTACGTCAGGTAGTTAATTTAATTTATATTTTTTATTAAAATTAATTTGTATGAGAATTATTTAGAGACCCTAAAACTTTTGAGATTTGAAATAATGCTTATTAATATTATCCATTAAATATTAAATATACTTGTTATTTCTGTCTCTAATATTTGGTTATTTTTTGTTTTATATTTTTAATTTTCAGTATTTTGATATTAACAATTCTCCAAGTGAAGAACAAATTAAGGAAATGGCACAACGAACAAATTTAGCTGAAAAAGTAGGAAAATTCTTTTTTTAAATTATTTTTAAAAAATTTTATTTTTAGGTAATAAAGCATTGGTTTCGAAATACTTTATTTAAAGAACGACAAAGAGACAAAGATTCTCCATATAATTTTAGTATACCTCCACAAATGAGTATAGATTTGGCTACTTATCACAAAACTGGAGAGGCTAAAATTGTTCCGTTAATTAAACAAGAGGTGTTAAAAATAAAATATTTTTATAAGAAAACTGGAGGATTTCTCCCCTATTTCTTAAGTTTCTGTCCCCATAGGGGAGAAAAATTGTTTAATTGTTGTTTAATCTCTCCTTCATTGACTTACAAACAATTTACTTCTTTCTTTTCCTCATATTTTTAATTTAAATTTTTAATTTTAAAAATAGAAAGAAGAAAATGAATCAATGGGGGAAGAAGAGGATATTATCAGAAATGTTGAAGAAAATTCAAAAATAATTGGAAATTATCAAAATGAAATGAAAGATTATTCTGACCAAGAATTAGATGAACAAGAAATGAGTGAAGATAATAGGGAGGAAGAAGAAGGGGAAGAAGAAAATATTTTAATTAAACAAAAGGAGGAAGAAAATAATGAAGAACAAAAAAATTTGAAGAAAAAAAATAAAAAATCATTTTTAAACAAAACTTTGGATAATTTAGGAGGAAATGAAACTAAATTAAATTTAAATGAACAATTTAAAAGTATAGAATCTGTAGCTGCTGATTTATTAGCAAGTATTGGTAGACAATCTTTGTGTGATGAAGGAGGAGGAAATAATTCTGGAATTGAATTTTGTAAGAATTTTTTTGTGAATTTTAGTTTAATTCCAAATCTAACAAAGATGGGGGGAGATTTGACTGAAAACTGTTTATTTAGAAAAATATTAACAATTTTATCCTCTTCCTTTAATAAACTATTTGGAAACTAATTTTTATAAATTCCTTCTAAATTTTTTTCTTTTTTTTGTAGCACAAGAAAATCAACAATTACTTTCACCTTCTCATTTAAATGGCACATCTTTAAATTTCGACACAGCTGGACAATTTGCCCAATTAATGTTTTCTTCTGCAGCCGCGGCTGCAGCAGCTGCTGGAATACCTTCCTCCTTTTCTTCATTTAATTTATTTAATCCTTTTGTATCCAACAATTCTATTGATTCAACTATTTTACAACAACCATCAGCAACAACAACACAACAACAAGGTTTGTTGTTTTAAATCACAAAATTCTTCTTAATTATCATTTTTTAGTTGATATTCTTAGTCAATTAATTAATTCATCTTCTTCTACTCAACAAACAATAACAACAAATTCTTCAATTCCTTCTTGTTCTTCCTCAACTTCAATTAATTCAATTAATCAAATAATACAACAACAGCAACAATCAACAGCAACAACAACCCCAAATAATTCAACTACAACAACAACAAATATAGTAATGCCTGGTGGAGGTTCTAGTGGTAGAAGGGCAAATCGGACTAGATTTACTGATTTTCAATTGAGAACAATGCAAGACTTTTTTGATAAACAAGCATATCCTAAAGATGATGATTTAGAAATGCTTAGCAAAAAACTTGGTGATTTTTCTAATTTTTATTTTTAATAAATTAAAATATATGTTTTATTTAAAATCAGCGAGATAAATGGGGGTCCAAGGAGCGTGTTTTAGTGTAAATTGACTCTGATCACAAAACACTTCCTTCATACATCGGCAAAATTCAGCCAAGGATTATCGTGTTATCTAGATTCGACATCTTTTTTTAAACACTTTCTGCCATACTATTCCCAATCTTTAAAGCTCTTTACATTAAAGTTTATATTAAAATTTTTGGGACTACATATAAACAACCCCTAAGTTATAATTAAAATTTATTTCAGGACTATCTCCACGTGTTATTGTTGTTTGGTTTCAAGTAAAATTTTATTTAAATTTTTACAAAAGATTTCCCTCATTTTTCTATTAGAATGCTCGCCAAAAAGCTCGTAAAGTATTTGAACAACAACCTCATTTAATGGCACACCCATCAATTATTGAACAAGTAAATACTAACAAATAAAAATTTAATAATATATTTATTTTTCTCTTAAAAAAGATAACAACAGAAGGCCGTTTTGCCCGTACACCTTCATCAACTAATTTTCAATGTAAAGTTTGTGGGCAAGTATTTCAACGTTATTTAGAATTAATTCAACATCAACAAAGAATTTGTTGTTCTGTTAAATTAGAGGAACAACAAAATAATGAGGGGGATTTTAATGTTTCTGATATTTTAAATGGAAAAGAGGAAAATGGAATTGAAGAAGAAGAAAATAATAAACATTTATTTTTACAGCAACAATCTTCTAATATTGAAAGTAGTTCACAAGAAATGCTTTTATTTAATCAATTATTGGCTGCTGCTGGATGTTCACATCAACAAATAAATCAAGTAAAATTTTTATTTTTAAAAATTATTTTTGTTTGGACGTTAATAATTATTTTGTTTTCCCATAAATTTTAATGTTTTGGAGATATTTGAATATCCGGCACTTCTGCCGTTTAAAAGAGGGCCGCGCTCTATAAAACCTATATATTTTATTCTCTCTTTTTCATCAATCAAAATTAACCCTTTCCTCCTAATAACATTTATTTTTCACATGTAGTATAAAGTGTTTCAAAATTTGGTACCAAAATTATTGTCTCATAATGAATAGAGAGCACCGGCCCCCTTAAACGGAAGGAGTGCCGAATATCCGGAATATATTTTAAATAATTAAGAAAAATAAATTTTAATTTTATAGTCAATAATATACATTTTTAGATGAAAATTGATGTTCCATCCTCTAATAACGTCTCAACAAATGACACTTCCACAGAGTGTCAATGCCCACTTTGTGGTTTACAATTTAATTGTAATGATAAACTTGCTAAACATATTTCTGAAAATCATTTTTCTTCTTCTTCCTCAACAAATTTTTTTAATTTAAAAGAAGAAAATTATGAAAAACAACAAAATCCCTTAGATTTAACAATTAATAATAATCGTTTTAATGGTTATAAAACAGAAGAGGAAATACTAGAAGAAGAAATTGAAGAAGAAAATGAAAGACAAAATAATAATGATAGTACAGGAGGAGGGGGAGGATATTTTGTTTCTAATGATCCTTCACTTTCTCCAACAAATGAAGGAGGAAATAATGAAAGTTTATTATTAAATGAATCTTCATTAGCTGCAGCACTTCTGTTGCCGTCTTTATTTGGAGGACAAAAACGAATAATAAATGATGGAATAAATCAAAGACAAAGACCTCAAAGTCAATCAAATAATTCGAAACGTTTTAGAACACATTTGACGCCTATGCAAGTTTTTGTAAGTTTTTGAAAATGATTAAATTGAAATTTAACCTTTGATAAGTCAGAAATTTTATTTAATTTTTATGATTTTTGGAAATTTTGATATTGTAAGAGAGTGAGAGAGAGGAGACAATCTTTAAAAATACACAAATATTAATTAAGGTAATGAAGTCATTATTTCACGACTACAAAACTCCATCAATGCAAGAATGTGACTCTTTAGGTCGGAGAATTGGACTAACCAAACGAGTTGTTCAAGTTTGGTTCCAAAATACTAGAGCAAAAGAAAGAAAAGCTGGTAGCAGTAGTGGAAGTGCTGGTAAATATTTTTGTGAAATTATTTTGAGGGGATTTAAAATTTAAAAAAATTCTTTTTATTTTTTTTTCAGAACCAGAAGAATTAATTCCTTGTTGTGGTTCTTCCATTTATTGTCAACTTTGTGATATGCCATTTGGAAATAATTTAAATAACAATAATAATAGTCAATTACTTCAAGAACATATTTTTACTGAAAATCACATAGAAAAAGTAAAAGAAAAATGTTCTCAGTTAAAAACAACAATTAGAGGATGTTCTGTAAGTATTGGAGGTGATGAACAACAAAATTTGTCATTTTTGGATGAAAAAAGAGAAGGAGAAGATAATTATGATGAAGAAAAAATTGGTGAAAATTGTGATTGGAATAATGAATTAATTGATGATGGAGGGATAGGGGGAGGAGGAGGAGAAAATAAAGAAAGAAATAATCAATCATCTTCCTCTTCTTTATCACCACAACAACAGATTGGTCAATCATTAACAGCTGCAGCTGCAGCTCAATTACCTTATTATGCTTTAGCAGCGGCAGCTGCTGGTGGAATTGGGGGAATGCCAATGAATGGTTAGAAAGGAAATATTTATTAGAAACAATTAATTGTTATTTGTTAAACAATTAATTTGTTTTTTAAACATCAAAATATTCTCATTTCTTCCTACTTTTCTAGGTTTACTTCCACCATTACTTTATGACCCACTTTTGTTCGGCACACCAGTTTCGGCACTTAAAGTCCCAGAAACTGTTTCACAACAAATTATTACCGATATGTCTTCTGGAAAGGGACAAAGTTGTTTTACACAGGATGGATTAGAAATTAATAAATTGGAAAGTAAATTAGCTGATAATTTTGGATTTTTAAGTTCTGTTGATTTGGAGGTATTTTTAGAGAGGAAAATAAAAATTTAAATAATTTTAAAGGTTGGTTGGGGTTGTCAAAATTGTAATAATGTCTTTCAACAACCAGAATTACTTCAAAATCATTGGAAATTAATTTGCCCGGCAGGGGAGGATATTGGTGCTTTTAAATTGATACAAACACATTATCAATGTAATCCTTGCCAGAAAAAATTTGGAACACAGGTATTTTGGAATGAATTATTGAAATTTAAATTATTTAAAAATTATTTTTTAAGGATGACTTTTGTGATCATTGCCTTTCTGTGGAACACAAAACAAATTGTAGAGCAAAAAAAGAAAGCAAATAAATTTCTGTGGCCACTTCTTGTCTCCTGCAAATAAAAATAAAAGATCTCTTTAAATAAAATTTATTTCTTACCATTTTTAATTTTTAAAATTCATTTCCTTGTAGTAAATTTTATACTAAACACATAACCGTTCCTATAATGGAATAATCCCCAAAAATATTTCTTTAAAATTTTTTTACAAAAACAGTTAAATAAAACCATCAAAATATATTTACTACAACAAATCTTTTAAATATTTTTTACCGGTTTTTGCTCTGGTGTTTAGCTTTAATGCATTGAATTTCCTCATTTTTTATTGAGATTTAAATATTTTTTTTTCAATATTTTTTAATATTATCTGAATATTTTTTTACGAATTTTCTATATACCTATTTTCTTTTGATTATTCACCACCACAAAATCCTCATAAATAGCAGGACATTTATATATTCTCGTCAATTATATATTTTTTTGTTTATTCATTATTATACAACGATAATTAAATATACTTTAAATATACTCCCCTTCCCTTACACAATTTGTCACAAAATTTTTGTCTTTCGCAAAAAAATATTTTTTGAATAAATACATTCACTTTTTATTAATTCCAAATAAATTAAGCTTAAAAATATTTTAACAGCTTTATACCTCTTTTTTGTTTTATCTTTATATATTTTAATCCGAATATAACGAGATAACTAATATAGACCTGGTCAAATATCTCTCCAAATTTCACCGTTTATATATGTAGATCTTTTATTATAAAAATAAAAAAGATTTATTTCTAAAAAATCCTTCCTTCCCTCCCCCCTTATTTCTCCCCCCACCCTCTATTTGGCAATCATTTCCATACTAAATTAATTCCAAAAAAGAGGTTAAATTTGAAATAAAAAATAATAATTTGTTTGTTTGTGATATTTTAAATTCTTTTTTTAATACTTTAATTTCTTTTAACTTTCTACAATTTTTCTTTTTTTATTCATTCTACAATTCGTTTTAATATTCTATAAAAAACGAATTATTAAAAATAAATTTATTTTTCCTAAAAAGCTTTACTTTTTTATCACAAATTTACTCGCACTAGAAAATGATTTTTTGTTTTTTCAATTTTTTAAGTGGCAATAAATTGATATTATTAATTAATATTTTTTGTAATTTAATAAAATTATTCTCAAAATTAAAATTAGTAGATTTATTCAATTATTAAAAAATATAACAAGAAATAAAATAAAAATATTATTATATATTAATTATTAAAAGTATTTTTATTTAATATAGAAGGACGGAATTGAAAATCAAAAAGATTTGATGTCCAAATAAGTGTGAGTTCATTAGCTAAGCTTTAAATAAAATCAAATCTTTTTATTGGCAAACAAGAAGGACAATAGAAAATATTGTCTAAATATTTTAGAAATTCCTTGACTAGACTAATTTAATTTAAAGAAAGTACAGCAGTAAAATACAATTATTAAAATCAAGGAAATAATTAAGAGTTTTTGCTATCTTGGCTGTTGTTGTTGTTGACAACTTCCTTCTCCTCCACCTCCACCTTCTCCTCCTCTTCTTCCAAATCCATCAAAAGAATGTTGCCTAAAAAGTAAAGGTAAATTATTATTTGATGTTTGTTGTCCTCCATCTAAAGAAGAGAAAGATAGTCTTGATTCTTGTTGTTGTTGAAGTAATTGTTGAACTTTAACTGCTGCTACAGCCGCAATTGTTGGGTCAATATTTGAAGTATTTAAACAATTTGGAGGTTTAAAAGCACTTCTTGAATAATCTATTAATTCAGGTGAAATATTAAATAAATTTGGAGTTGAACGTCGTAAAGCAGCAGGTAATTGTTGGGCTGCTAAAATTAAAGAAGAATTTAATAAATTAAAAGAATTTGTTCTTTCATTTATAGCAGCAGAAAATAATTTAGCTAAATGATTATTTATATTAGTTGTTGATGTTGATGGTTGTTGTTGTTGTTGAATTAATGTTGGTGGTTGTCCAAATAATTGGTTATTTTGAGGGGACTGAGAATAACAAGCAAAATTTGTATTTAATTGTTGTTGGGGGGTTATTATTGGTGGTGGTTTTTGTTGGGGGAGAGGTGAAAGGGTTGCTGGTACTGTTGGAGGGGGTGAGGGAGGGGAAAGTGATAATTCATTAATTGGAGGAATTTGAAGTTCGTTATCTAATGTAGAAGAAGAACCTTCTACTCCTAATAGTAAATGAGTACGCATATGTCTAGTTATCATATCACGACGACTCTAAAAAAATTTTTTATAGAAAATTTTCCAATTAAAAAAAACTTACAGCAGCATAACTACATTGTGGACAACGATAAGGCTTTTCTCCTGTATGTGTTCTCTGATGTGTACTCAAATGATCACTTCTAGAAAATACTTGTCCACATAATTGGCAAGCATAAGGTTTTAATCCCGTATGTAATCTCATATGTCTTTAAAATATTTTCTTTTAATTTTATATCTCTCTAAAATTACCTAGTTAACATATCAGAACGTCCAAAACTTTTTGGACATAATTGACATTTGTGAATACGATTGCCTTCATCGTTTGCAGAGGCAGAACGATCTCTATGTCTACTAGCTATATGTTTAGCTAAACGATCGTGCATTGAAAATCCCTTAAAATTTAAATTTTTAAAATAGTTTTTTTGTAAATTACTTGTCCACAATGTTCACAAACATGTGTTGCTTCATTTAAAGGAACAAGTAAAGGCGCTTGTGGTTGACTTTGTCTACGACGATTATCTGATATATTTTTTGAATTATTTGTTGTTTCAATTGTTGTTGATGTAGATGAGGATTGTCGTCTAACATTATTTTGGTGGTCATCTTCTAAAAAAATTTATTTTTAATTTATTCAAAATATTTAAATTAAAATTTACCCATAAAAGGAGAAATATTCGTTTTTCCTCCTCCAGATAATTCAGATTCTGATCTACTACGTCTCCATAAAGAAGCAAGCATTGGCCGAATAGGCCCGACTTGTGAACAGTCAGTTGCTGGTTGGGGCCAAAGTTGTTCTAATGAATTTTGTGGTATAACACTTGGAACCTTTTTAAAAAATATATTTTACAAAAGGAGAAATTAAGAACCTGTAAAAGATTAGCTTCTTGATGTGCTGGAACTAAAGAATGTCTAATTGCTTCTAATGCAGCGGTTTGTTGTTTAATCCATTCTTCTACTTGTTTACGCCGTCCATTGTCCAACTAATAGAAATAAAAAATATTATTTTAATTTTACTAAAAAGAATATTTGATATTTATAATCATAAATAGATTTTCTTTATTATAATCTCTTGGTATCTAGTAAATAAGAAACTAATAGGAAGGAGATCAACGGAAAAGGAAATAATATTTATTTATTTTAAACTTTTGTCTTACATCTCCAGGCTGAAATAATTCAGTTAATGTAGGTGATGGAGGTGGTTCTTCAATTGTTGGTTTATTATTATTTATTTGTTTATTATTATTGTTATTATCGTTATCAGATGTAATTATTTTTATAGAAATATTATTTTTATTTATTTTTTGTTCTTCTTTTTCTTTATTTTTTTGTAATAATTGTAATCTTCTTCTTTTTAATCCCGCATGTAAATTTCCTCTATTTGCCGTTGTTGTTGTTCCTGTGGGGACAGAAAGTGTAGAATGTCCAGTATCCATTCTTTCATCCTCTTCATCATCTTCAAAATCCCCTCCTCCCCCTCCAGACTGTTTATTCCTTTTACAAACATTATTTGATGATAATGCTTCTCCTTCTGAACGACTACGTTCTCTTGCATCTAAATCCAAAGACCGAGGCTGTGAAATAGCATTTGCTGTAGCCAACATTCGTTGATGATAATTTGGATGTTCCGAAGAATTATTAATTGAATTATTAAATGTTTCTTGAGCATTATTACTAGCATGATTGGATAAAGAACTTCTACTTCGAATTTGTTCAAAGCTGTGAAAGAAAATAAAATTTAAAATATTTTGTTAATTTAAATATTTGTTCAATATCTTTAGGTTTTAGAATTTTCAAAGGTTCTAAAACTAAGATTAATGAAGACAAAATATTAATAATAATTTTTAAGATTTAATCCAAAATCTACCTAAAATGTGTTAAATCTCCACCTCCTCCAACACTTCCCCTCATTCTCCTAATAGGAGATGGTGACATATTTGGCGATCTTGAATAAGGAGTTGCTGAAGCAGAATATCCAATATGTAAATCAGCAACTCCACAATCAGAAAAGGGGGAAAGTAACGGAGAAAGTAATAATTGTGGTGAAAGGAGGAATCTGTGTGTATCGGCCTTATCTTCATTATTTAAATTATTATTTCCTCCTTCTGAAGATTCATCATCAATACCTGTTGACCTGTAAAAATTTTAATTAAAAAATTTCTTTAATTTCCAAAAAAAACCTTAAAGATCCTCCACCACTACTATAGGCAATATCTCTAAAAACACTCCAATTAGCCGCACTAATACCGAGAGTAGAATAATGGCAGGTAGAAATTGAAGATCTTGGACTTGACCCTAAATCAGAAGTTGGATAGCTTGGTGATGATGGGGGAGGGATTTTTGACGAAGAAGAATCCATCATTGATTGAGTTCCAGATAAAGAATAACAAGAAATTGGGGGAGGAACGTAATTTGGACTTAACTAAAAATATAAAAAATTTTTAAATTATAGTTATTTGTAAAATTGTATTTATATTATAGAGAATATCATTATTAATGGCAGTATTATTACATAAAAAAGTTTTTTATTTCAAATATAAATACCAAATTAATTCGTTGTAATGCATCTACAGATAATGGACAAGGTCGTTTAGCAGAACGTGCACCTGGACTTGAAGTAGTAGGTGATGAAGGTGCAGAAGGGCCTTGTTCACAAATTAATGGAGGTGTCTTTAAATAAATGAATAAAAAAATATTTTTATTATTTATTTTTTATTGTTTTCTTAAAATGTTATCCAATAAAAAAGGAAAAAAATCTAGCCATTCTCTTTTGGCAAAAAACATCAAGCAATATACTCAATCATTAAATAATATATAGCTTTTTAGTATTTGAATATATATATAAATTGCTTTTGGTTTTCTATTTTTGGCTTTTTAAGAGGAGAATAGCCCTATCGTTCTACAAAGCAATTCCCGTGACGATATTAAACAAAAAATATTGGTGGATATGAAGGGAAAGAATTGAAAAAATAGATAAAATGCAAAGTAATCAGACAGTTGTTTATCTTTTAAATTTCTATTTATTTTTGGGAAAAATAAACAAAAGACAAAATAATGGAAAATAAGAACAGAAATATCTTTGTTAAATTAGGGGGATAAATAAATTAACGGGGAAGATAATTTTTGGAAGATTACAACAAACAAAAATAAAATTAACTGAAATACTAAATGGTGGATTATTTGAATTCTTTATAATTAATTAGGTAACTTTAACTACCGTATTTACTAAAATAATTACTCTGGGTAATTGTTGTTTCAATCTCTCACTGGAAAGGGGTAATAAATAATTATTTGAGTAAATACGGGAACTCAGGTTTAAACGATCTTACTTCTCTAATCTATAAAAAAGAATATATCCTATATTAAATTTTGGATTTTTTCTCCTTTTGTAAAGATTAATAAATTAATAAAAAAAATAATTCTTATATTATTCGTAGTTATTAATTTTTTTCCATTATAATAAATCTATTTGTTACTATTTACGTATTTCCTTATTATTTTTATTCCTTTTATGACACAATCAAGTTGAAATTGATACTTTATTTAACAAAGATCTACTACAATTATTTACCTTTTCTTTAAAAATGATGTTATTTAAATAAATAATTTAAAGAAAAAGGGGGAAATTATTTAGAATTTTAAATAAATTCTTTATTTGGAGATTAAAAACCTTTATTTATTTATTTTTCTTTCTTTTTGTCACGCAATTTGGCGCTTTTAACTAAAAAAGCACTCTTAAATAAAAAATATATTTATTTTCCTCTTAAAAAACACCCACATAAATCTTTGCCTAATTTTCATGCAAAAACACCCACTTAAAGAGGAAATTGGCCAAAAATAGAAAAAGAAAGCTTTAATATTGTGAGGTAATTTTTGAGGAAAGAAAGATAAAAATAAATTTAAAAAAAGTTAAATAATGAGATATTTGGAAAAAAATAAAATTAATATTTAAATTTGAATAAAATATTTCAAAAATTAGGAATAAAATAATTAAGAATAAATTGGCAAAGAATTGCTAGTTATTTAGTGATTAAAGAATCAGCCAAAAAAAGAATATTTAAATTCCCAATTTTTAAGTGTAAGGCTTGAAAAATCTTAGAATCATTTGAATATTTCCTACTAAAAATAATTAATTAAATTCTAAATTCACCTTTAATAAATTATTTTTTAGTAAATTATTAGGAATATATTTTTGTTGTTCTTCCTCTTCTTTTTCCATATCTTCAACATTAAAACAAATATCTTCATCATCATTATCATCTAGACTCTTTTGTTGTTGCTTATCTTCAATTTCTTCTTCTTCCATTTTTTGTTCTTTATTGTTTTTAGAAAGCATTGTATCGACAGAATGAGAGTAATAATTAGTAGCATTTGTTGTTGTGTTGCTACAACCAGGTAATGTTAATTTTAATGTATTTTTTATACTTCCCCCTCCTCCTGCTCCTCCAATATTTGGTTTATTAGAAGACATTTAATAAAGATGCTTGTAGTAGTGTTAATTTATTTCAAAAATGTTGTAAATTTATTAAAAATAAAAACTAAAAAGATTTTTAATTAAATATAGCCTTTACTAGTCTTAAATAAATTTATAAGTAGTTTATTGAGGAAATAAAATTTAAATCAAAATTTTAAAAAATAACAATTAAATAATTATTTTAAATTAATTACTAAGATTTCTAAATTAAAAAAATTGTGACAATTTTATTTGCCTAATAAAATTATTTACTATGAGAATGTGTAGGTGTTTATAATTGAAAAATAATTAAAAGAGAGATCAGTAAATTAAAATAACCAGTGTATTAGTGAATTAAATAATGTGGTGAATGAAAATAAATTAAAATATTTGTCGTTTATTTATTAAATCTGTCATCGATTTCGATTAAATAAAAGAGTGGAAATAAAAAATATTAAAAGGGAAAAAGAGGGAGGGAAAAAGTTTTTTATATAAAATAAAATTAGAGTTTGATTTTTAATTTTTAGAAAAGTTTTTGAATAAATAACATGCCTGTCTTGCACTTTTTGGGAGACCTAGTACATAGACCTAGTGTATATTAGAGTTTGAAAACTGGCGGTAGGTGCTATTAAATGTAGTCCTTAAAAAGCACTTAATCAGGTGTGAATGAAAATATAAGAGCAACAATCAAGTTGAGGGAGGATAAGTTAAGGGAGGAGGCAATCGGAGGGGGGGGGGGTGTTACAAAATACAAAAAAGAACCCCTCACCCGGTAAATAAATGTTCTGTGTTTAGTTTAATTATAACAAAATTTTGTTTAAAAAGTAAAAATATATTGAGGGGGAAGAAAAAAGATTTAATAATATTTTTATATATTTATTTATTTAATCTTTATTTAGATTAAGATATTAGTCACATATTTTCTTTAAATTTATAATAAGATAAATAAACGTAAAATGATAAAATAAAAATATTTTTTAAAATAAAACTATTATAATAATATTTTTTTAAATAATTTTTTTGTAAAAAATATTAATTTCTGGTTTATCAGAAAAAATTGTATTTTATTTGAGGGGGCGGTAAAAAATAAAAAAAGAAAATATATATATAAAGTTTTACTTGTAGTCAATTGTGCAAGTGTTACTAATATTTACATTAAAAAATCTTTGACGCAAACGGAAACGCCCGCTAAAGGAAAAGCAAATATGGCTACTAATTGGACATTATTGCGCATTAAAGGATTGAAAGAATTTTAAAAAATAGAGGGAGGTAAAGGAGGAAGAATTGATATTTAAATTGATAAAACTTTATTGAAAAAACTCTTTTCTTTTAATTAATAATAAAATTTATTTTAATTTTATTTTAATTATTTTAAATGAACGAAAGAGTAAAAAATAAAATATGGATGTTCCTGAAATAATTTAATTTGTAATGTTTTGTTAATACAAATTTTAGTATAAATTATATAAATTTTAACAAAAAACCAAAATTAAAAATTAAAAAATTTCGTGTTTTCTTTGTTTATTTAAACAAAGATAATAATTTAAAAATAATTTTTATTTATTTCTGATTGACGACACAATAATGGTTTTTAATTATTTTTGAATGATTAACTAACAAATATTTTCAAAGATTAAAAAAGAAAAACAAAAAAATAAAGCAGACCTTTCTCTTTATTTTATAAAAAAAATTTAAAAAAAAAAAATAATTTTTTTTCTTTAATATATGGGCAAGTTCGCTCACAAATGTTGTAGCCAAGAATAACAAGAAAAAAATGAGAGAATAAAAAACGATAAAAGGAGGAATATGAAAAGTGGTCTCGCCGCTAGGTTACGTAAAATAATTTTTTAAAATATTTTTTAATCTTTTTTTAATGGAGTTTCTATTAAATATATTTAAGCCGTTTTTTGTGGTATAAAAGGATATATGTAATATTTAACACCTATTAATGGTCAAATAAAAATATTAAATAATTATTAGTACTTATATGTATTTGAAAGTTTATATGTTAAAATTAAACATATATTCTCAAAGGCCAATTTAATTTTAAAAAAAATTAAAGAATAAAAGAATTTTTAATAAAAATAAATTTAATTATTATTTTTTAATTATTCAAAAATTTTAAATTTCAAAATTTAATTGAAAATAACTGGATACGTTCTTGCCAGTAAATTTAAAAATTAAAAAAATAATTATGTATAAATAATGATTGATAAATGAATTTTAAAAGTTAGTAAATAAATAATTAATTAAAAATTAAATTCCTTATTAAATAAAAAAATTATTTTTTAATTAAATATTAAATTGAATGTGTTAAAAACTAAATAATTAAAAAGTAAATACATACTACGAACAAAAAAATTTTGGTATTTAAATATTTAATTAAAAAAAAGGATTTTTTTAAAAACTTTCCGAAGCCTTTTCTTAGAAAAAAACTGTTGGGGATTTTTAGTTTTACATCTGACGCAAGTTAGTGGCTGGC